TTTATCGCAAAATTCTATCAGCCTATCTCCCCTATCATTTCTATTGCCTAATCCAAAAGAACCTGCTATTGCACCCACTTTACCTTCACCTATTACTGCGTTGAAATCTCCTAAAACTATTAGGTTGTCCTGTCCTTTCACTAAACTTAACACGTCTTCTATACCTGCATAAACTGCTTCTACGTCTTCATCATTGTAAGATGATGTAGGCATGTAGACCTGCACTAATACGGTTCTTACCGGCTTTGAGTTTAATTTAACCATAACTATCCTATCGCTTTTTTGTAAATAACTTTCTACAGTCTGCCCTACTTTCCTACGCATTACAATTCCTACCCCCGAATTACCTTCTACCGATCCTGTATGTATTACTCTAAAGTCCCCACTCCAGAAGTCTCCAGCTTGGGGCCAACGGACTTCACTTATACCTACTATATCTAATTCTAATCTATCCATCTCTATTTTTAAATTGTCTAATTTTGCTACTTGCTCCATTGTTCTAACATTCCACGCTCCGACTCGTGAAACATTGCACCTATCCCTGTTGCACTTATTCATGACATCCCGCGAGGTAGTCCCCGCCCGGACATCCGAATGGGGGACTAGTTTATGTCCGGAGTGCTTTACCCCAGAGGAATGAATCGTAGTAATGATAAAGGTGTTCATTTTACTAATAGTGACCTTCTAAATAGCTCAAACGCGAATCTAATAAATAGTAGTTCTCAATTATTTGAGTCTATTGAAATGTTAATTTAAATTCAGCGCCTTCTAATGTAATTTCCTAGTTTGTTAGTTTGCTATAGTTACTATATATTAATAAATAATACTATTCCGTGACACTACGAGTAGAGTGCATAAAATTGTAATTCTATTACAATAAACGTTTATTCTCATAAAAACCTACTTCCACTTATTCAAAATAATTCAACACTAATATTATGCGAAATTAATTTAATTTCTACTACTGAACACTACCTTAGTTTAACCTCATGCGCTACTAGATTTAGTCTTCAATTTTTGGAAACACTATTATAAAAGTTTGCATGCTATTTTCATCATTATAAGCACAAATGGTTAACAGAATGCAAAACTTAGGGCGGTTATTTCTTGGGAATCTTATATATTGCCTGAACCGCCACATTACGTGATACGGTGTATAATTAGGTTAGGTTAGGTTACATATTTTCGTTGCTGGTGATGTAATCTTTCGTAGCAGTAGTGCGCAAAGGTACCGGGTTCGATTCCCGGCGAGAGCGTGATAGCAGTAACAATTTTTCCTCATTACTTTGAGGTTATCTATAGTGACGAAAAATTAATAATCAATTAATGGATAAATTAAAGGATCAATGGTTTACCCGTTTAACTTGTTTTGTATCTACATATACTTTATATTTCCGTCAACACCAGCCTTGGGGTAGGTAACATTGTTATATGCATTTTCCAAAGCCGTCGTTTTCATATTACTGAACATAACGCTGGTAAGTAATTGCCTTAGAATCAAACAATGTTGTCTAAAGGACAATATTACAAAATTCCATCGAAGCCGGCTCGGAGTACTAAAGGACTTTTGATTTCACTTTACAGAATGTTGAGCTTTGAGGTTGTTGCTAATAAAGACGAGAATGTGAACGGAAGACAGCCAAAGACAATGGAATTTTAAGTATAACATTACTATACTAATGTAAATTTAAATATTGTAAAACATCAGCAAATTGCTTTATATTCACTCAATCTACAATAGGTCACTGAAACTGTTTATAATTACAGTAATATGGTTATTTTTTTTGAGGTGCTGTATACTTAAATACTAAAAACAATTAATATTTATCATCACTACACACCAAAGAAATTGCTGCTGCTGCTTAGTCAAAATGTTTACTTTCTCGCTATTCGCAACGTCTTGAATGGCCTGTCATTTATTGTGCATATTGCCATGCTTATTTGTTAACTTACACAGGGTGTGTTCCAAAATATAACCCAGCATACTGGCCAATGCTAATAACGTCATGAATCGACGCCATATTGTACTGGTGTGCCACCATATTGCACTGGTGAGACAAGTGTGATGTAGTAGTATATCAAACGGGCGTGTGTGCATTGAGGAATTTTTTGTTGTAGGAAACTTTAATTACATTTGGAGCAAAATTGTTGTAAACGAGCACAAACACTATTCTTAGTATGTCATCAATTTGACGTAAACGCACTGACGTCATCAACACTGGCCAGTATGCTGGGTTATATTTCGGAACACACCCTTAATACGAATTTGTTATACCTTGTTTCAAACCAAATATACTATATGTATATATAAAGCTGTAATATTCAATCTTCGAAATCGCAGTCCAAGCTCATCATCATCATAAGGTCATCAGTCCTAAGACTGGTTGGACACGTACCTCCACTCTTTCCTATCCTGAGCTAAACTTCGCATTTCCCTAAAACTAGAACAACCCACATCCTTAACTATTTGCGAACAGTAATCTAATCTAGGTCTACCTCCAAGCTATGGAGAGTAAATGTAAGGAGAAATATCTCATATGGAGGAATAGTTGAAAAAGTGTCAAGCTTTAAGTAGTAAACTACAGTTCAAAAATCCTCCAAAATGGCGGTAACTTAGGCAGAAGGTATGAATGTAGCAGTTGTTGACGGATTGAAGTATGCCGAGTTAAAAGTTTAATATTTTCGGTGAGTAAAATACTTAGTGACAATCCAGGATATCAAACCTCAACTATTTACGTAGTTCAAAGTAATTTTGTCCTTGTTTATTTTATATCTTATTCTAATAACCTTTGACAATTTATTTGAAATTTAGCTTGTTGCTACTGTGGCGCCACCCTAATTTAACGCAGTTTGACGGACACTTTTTCACTGCAGAGATAGCACTCTTCTACTCTCCATATTTCGGGAGTTGCTTTCGAAATGTTGCAAACCTAAGTGACCGTTGAGCGTGACATAATAGTGACATATTACCAAAGTACCATATTTGAACGCGCAACTTTTATACATATGACATCTGCTGTAACAATTGTGAACCTGCTAGTATAATTATTCATTCCCAAAGGCGTTTGGAATTAAGTCAATCAAAGAAACAACATGAAAATATGCTCAAACAATTGAGAAAAAGGGAGCAGTATAACATTTTGGGTATGCAGCAGCAAACGGTAATATCCCAAATTGGCGTAAAAAGACTGCCTTGAAAAAAAGTTGGAATTCATTGTTACCCGAACTATGATACGATTTGCTTAGCCCAAACTGATTGTTCTGAGTTTGATACCGACCAAACTCGATTTCAGAACCTATTAGTTTTGCCTAGGATAAAGTTAAATTTCGAATCACATATACTTAAACTAACTATAATTTCACTTTCCAGAGGTGCATAACATTAAAAGAGCAACAAACATTACTACTTACTACCATACTAATTATATTGGGGTTAGTTTAGATTATCCTCATCGGACAAAGAAATATAGTTCGGTTTGGGCAATGGTAGTTTATGGTGAAATAGAATTTAGTTTGTAACACTTCAGGACAAACCAGTTGTCACTGTCACTCTTCGGATAAGCTTTTTTTGCATAGGTAAAACCAGTTTACTTTCAAATCGGGTCCCTCTCAAATTTGGATTCACCATTTCACGTAGTTGTTGACTTCAGTTGTTCAGATTCAAAACACGTACATTTAGTTTACTGAGCATTGTATTTTCATTAATTATGAATTACATTATTTTGGCACAGAGAATGACTGCGCCTCGTTCAATAAAAATTTTTGTTTGGTTTCTGAAATATCACCTATACAATAGACTTACCTTCGGATGGATAGGAAATATTGATCCAAAAACTCTTTGGCATGCTTTAGTGTTTCTTCAGGTGATCTTGCGACACTGGAATGCTTTGGATTTTGGTTCATTAAACTACCCATGCATACATTGGGTGAACAGGAGATATTCTGAAAGAAAAGAAAAACAATGAGAATGATTCGCGACAATTCGTTACTTAGTTTACACAATTAGATTAGAGGCGGATTAAATGTCGAGAGCGATTTAGGCAAACACCTCATAGCGGCCATAGATTACACAAGTCTGCGAATTCTTTTTTTTTGAAGTTTTTTTCTTAAATTGTTAATATTTGTCGTAATTGTCTTAAAAGTAATAGAAAACGAAATTCATATGGTGTATACACGTCACATTAACCCATAAATGCTTAGAGAACACATTTCCATTTGAACCCTTGCCACGTAATGAGTGCGACGAAAAAATATTCGATAACCAGTGTTTCTATGTTTTTAACGATGCTCTTTTCGATGGCGTTGGTTAAAAATACCTCTAGCAATATTAAAGCATGGAAAGATTGAAAATAAACAAAAAAAACAATTGGTTTTTTTCTTAAAAAGTAATCTTTTGTGTCCTTACGACTTTTTTATATGCTTAAAATTTACATAGATCATGACCTCGATATCTAAATATGAAATAATCACCGTTGGTCAAGTCGAAATGTCTTTACAAACTGTTTCATCAAACCAAGTATAATTTAAAGTGGTGGAAGCAATACTTTTTCGGGATCTTTCAAACTCGTATTGATGACATTTTTCACTCCGCATTGCATTCTAATTTGGACATAGAAATACCGAATAACAATGATTTTGATTTACCATAATTCCACTGTCTTAACACTTCAACACATAACCGGTATATTTTATCGTAACCCAGTGTTTATCTTGGTGACACAACTTCATTCTGAAGTAAGCTTAATAAGCATTTTTTACAAAGTCTGTTATATTCAATCTTTGCTTAACTATTGTCTATTGTCCGCAAATGTAAAAAAATACATTTGAATTGTTTTTACAACTCCGAGAAGCTATAGTTAAAGATAAATGAAACACAATCTTTTATTACACGTTAATATTATATCTCTCTCAATAATGGCGCGCTATAAACTATTTTTTTTTCAGGCGGTGTAAACGACTGTAGTTACTTTCAGACTATCTAAAATAAAGTAAAAGACAAT